ATATTAAAATAAAAAGTTGTAATTTTTAGTTTTGTAAAGACTTTTTTTATAAAATCAAAATTAAAACTCGTCATTTTATGAATTTTAAAATATATTTAAATCTAAATTTATATCTTATGATAGTTTATGATGGAATGATAACATACAAACTTATTACATTATCAGTATATTTAGTTAAGTTTCATTATAGTTAAATTTCATTAAAATATTTCCTAGTAGTTTTAACAGAAAAATTACACCTTTAAACGTAAATTTATGATTTAAATAAATTTAAATACACATTTAAACTATATGCAATAATTTATAATGAATTCCATCAAAATAAAACATTGATCAAACTCAAAATAAATTATGACTTAATTGTTTTGAGTGGAAAAGGAAATTAAGATATATGTTTTCAACTATAATTATAAAAGGGTGATTGTTTTACTACATTTATAGTAAAAAAATAATAATTAATTTTATGGGAGAGTTTGAAATTCAAAATTTATATTAATTCTCGACGTCCATAGATTCCATTTGAACATGGAGCTATTAATTAAAAGGTAAAAGTGATAGCTTTTTTATGGACCAATGTTGGTGTTGCATGGAGACATTGATATAGAGTTTGGAGGAGGATAAATTTTGTTGGCTTTTAAGAAACGTACTCCATTGACAACACTAAGACAACGAATCTATTGATGTCGTGGGATCAGTGTTTAACGAAGTCCCAAAACTAGACTTTAGGGGGAATAAAACTTAACCATTCAAACACACTCACTCTTTACTTTTTATGGGGTGCACAGTTAAATAACACGTTCAAAATTAAACTTATATAATGTATGAATTTTTTTTTTCATTCATTTATATATTATTTTGTCGTTTACCTTATCTTATAAAAAAAATGTATATGCATGAATATTATTTCTTGAAAGAAAAAACATATATATACGTATACTTTTTATTAATAATTTTTTTCGTCATATCTCTTAATGCATCTCTTATTTTATCTTTTTATTTTTTTATCTCTCTTATTACTAAAATATATGCATTCTAAAAAACATACATATATTATTTTCAATAATATTTAAAGTATTTAAATTTCCTAATTTTTTTATAAAATAAATAAAACTATTATTTCATTGTACCAAAGAGATATAATGTATTATTCTATTATCTTTCAATTAAAAAAACACATTTTACTTAAAAAAGATAGTCATTTTTTTAAATTTAAACATGTTATTTAAATATAATAAAGAGTTCCAATAATTTAAATATAGCATGAATTTTAAAGTTTAATTTTTGACTGACATTGTAACACAAGAGTCTTGTATTTTTTGTGTAATTTATGTAATTTTGAACTTTTCGTTGAAGTTTATATAAATTTGTTTTTTACACATGATCAATTATAACAAATTATAATTAGTGGTTAAATTGAATTTATTAATTTTAAAATTATAATCAATGTGGGAAGAAATCACAAGTATAAATATTGGTGATGCACAGGAGAAGGAAATGCAGTGGGCCAGAATAAATCTGAGTGCATGGGACAAGTTGGGAGAAGAAGGTTGAAATCAATCATGAAGTAAAATACTACTTTACTAAATTTATGAAAAATAAATAAATTTAAATCACGACTTTTTTTTTAATTTTTATATTATTTATGAGTTACCCATTATTATTTTTATTTTACAATTTCAATAATTAAAAAAAATCTTTTAAATTCAAAAAATAATCAATGGATGGAAATAAATATAAAAGGACGAAGAACTCTCTAACTTTGTTTATTAATACTATATTTATAAAATGATTAATTTAAAATAAAAGTAATTACAAATTATTATTTTGTTAATAAATGAAGTTATTAAATAAACGTTTATTAATATTAGATTGTCAATTTATTATTTTATTTATAATTTATAATTGGGATGTAAAGGTCACATTTAACCTTTCTTAAACCTTTTTCTTTTTTGACACGTTTTAAAAATGAAGACTCAATCTATATATATATATATATATATCCAAATACAATGGTATCACTCTGTGATTGTACCAATTTGAAGATCAATTTGTGTGTTCTCGTTTCGTCGAGAGAATGTTTTCGATGATTCTTCAAGTTTTACTTTTTACATCCTAACAAGGGTTTGGGTGCTATCCTTGTTTATTCTCCGCTCACAAGAGCGAATCACCATTCATGGCCAAAAGTAATGCTTATCGTTCCTGAAATCGAAGAACACATTAATTTGTCTACGTGTATGGGTATTATTTTGCCGAAGCCACACAATGAGGGAGCTCAATTTAGGTTTTTGCAAAAGGAGATAACCATTTTAATCAAACTGTTTGGTGGAACTCAAATTCAACTTTCGGGGTTTGTTCATTTTTTTTATCAATTTTTTTTAAAGATGTCCCATACGTTCCTTCTTTCAGTTTTAATCTCATTACTGTGTCTATGTTAATCAATTCCTCAGTTGCCAATTCACTTGTTCAAAATCTGGCTATCAAAGGCAGGGCTTCAATCAACTCATCCAAGATTATAAGTGTCGTTGATCTAGGAAAGACGCGTGTTGAGAGAGAGATTCTAGCTTACTGAATTTAATTAAGTTTTCTATCTCTTTGATTCTGATGTATGTTTGTCTAGTTTACAACAATTGTATTCCTTTATACAATTAAATATAGTTTGGTTTTCTTATGTGTGTCATTTATCTGAGCAAGAGAAATTTCCTTTTCCTCATTGTGATACTACGTCTAAAATTCTGTTTGGTATTGTTCATATAGATATTTAGGTCTATTTCTATCTCACAGGTACTTTTTGAACTGGCCTAGCTTATAAATCTAAGCACCCTTGGATTCCTTTTAGGAAAAAAGGAATTAGAGTCAGTTTTTATCATTAAAGAGATTTGTTTTCATGGTTGAGAACCAATTTTAATGCCAAAGAGAAATGCATATGACAAAGGGCCAGAATTCAAACAATTAGAATTTTTCACAGCTAAGTCATCATCCATTCACTGTCCTGTTCTGTGTGGAGATACCACAACATAGTGAGAAGGTAAGGGCATCAGAGGCTTCATATAGTTTCACATTGCCTCAGAGGAGACATTCTTATCAAGTGATGTTCTCTTCTTTAGGAATTTCAACAAGGAGCCTACCCATCCAGACCCCAAACTTGCTATTACACAAGTCGACCGTTTTGATTTTTTCACACTATCCACAACCAATGTACACCCTTCAGATTGGCCATGTTTGTAAAAAAAAAAAAAAAAAAAAATCACATCCACACCTACAATTCCAAAACTTATTAGGCCAATCAGAAATATAAGTAACCTTCATACCTTGAGGACTATTATTATTCTCTGTTCTCTAACATCAGTGATCGCTTAAAAACCAATCCAAGATATATCACAGTAAAGACTACAAATACTGAACTAATTGCTCTTGAAAGGAGCTAACCATGGTAACTGGATCTAGTTTATTAGCTTGATAGATCACCTTATGGCTTAATGCAAGTAAATATGGAATGCCAAATTAAACGAGTTTCCAGTGTAATATGGACTTGATGTGTCAAAGCCAAACTATTTATTTTTCATAAAAGTAGCTTCAACACACTTCATTGTGGTTAGCATCTGTGTGAATGATTTAGTCGTTGTTGGGAATGATCATGTTGAAATTCAGTTCCTCAAACACTGATTAAATACAAAATTCAATGTAAGACATCTGAAACATTCTTAGTGTTGAGGTTGTCAAATTTGTGTAAGATATCATCACCTTGCACCAAAAATAGGCCTTAGATCTTCTAAGGGGCATTTGTCTGCTAGGTGCAAAGCCGTGCAATACTTATATGGATAGCATGCTTGAATTGCACAAGGAATCCAACTCATATTGTAGATGCATCAAAATAGAAGATTCACCGGGAAACTATAATATTTCACTCATACAAAGCTAGATATCTGCTTCGCAGTGAGTCATCTCGATCAATATGTTGATAAGCACTCTTACCACTCACATGGTGCTTCAAAATGAAATCTTGCTCAGTGCTTTCCTGTTGAAATGTTTGAAATATTCTTATTTGGGATTTGTTTGGGTACTGAAATGTCCGTAAAGGTATATGTTTCATCCTTGGATCATGCTTTACTCATGGAGAAGTAAGAAACAATCCACTTTTTATAATTCATCATTATAACCTAATTAATACAAGGCTTTCCATCATTCAGCATTTGCTCAAGTCACAAATGAAGATCAATTATTGATTTACTTGCAGAATGATCTTCAAGCACACAATGTTCCCTTGTGCTCTATTCTGATAATTGACCACTTTTCATATTATTGAGAAAAACCATACAGTAGTAAAATTTCAATTGTTCCTAATTGTATTTTAGTTATATGTGACCTATATTTACACCAGGCCATTGACACTTCGAATCTTAAAACAATCTTCAATCCAATCTTGGAATGTTAGACAAATAACTGACGGGATGGTTAATAATTTTTTACACCATTTATTCTGTTTTCAGCTAAAAAGTTCACTGATATTATGTAATGTAGCGAGTTGTACATACTAGTACATCTCAAAAATCTTCTTTTTACAATTCAATTTGAAGTTTCATGATAAAAATAATTGTAAATTTCCTTTAAACCTCAGGGAAAAGTAAAACAAAATGAAACACAAGATATACACCCCTGATGAAGAGCACAGTGCATCTGCCAGCTAAGTAGGTAATTTCACGAAGACAAAAACCAGTTGAGTGTAGAACAATATATGTCTACGGGAAAAAAAAAATTCATATTTAAAATTTGAAGACAAAATTATTAAGTTTTGATAAGCTCTCATTTTTAATTATCACTTTAATAATAGCCCGTACTGATATTTGCCTGTCTTTCTCCATTGTAATTATTGGCGTGAATGTTTCCCTTTTTAATCTTGGTACTCTTCATTACCACGACACTCTCTACTCTAATCTCTTCAAGAAAACGCCAAAGAACAGAGACTAAAAGAAAGACAACGTAGAGTATTCTTTCGAAAACAAATGTCCATGTTGATAAAACTAGACCGCACACACCACAGCTCACTTGACGCCGCATCTATAAGAACTGGACCCCAAATGCCATGCAAGACAACACGTACTCACCAAGGTGTCCACCATGCATTCCAAAACATCACCAACTCAACCCACCACCCCCACACAAACAAAGCAAACCATTTTGTTCGTTTCAACACTCGTCAATTTGCATGTCAACCGGTGCCAACTGTCCATGCATCTTAATAGGATTCACATCTCTTCTATAATTATAAATACTCGCACACTTGCTCCAGGTTTTCATCATTGAGAGCCATTAACATTATCCGAGTACAGTGATAATTTGAGATACTATCATGAGATCGCGGTTCCCACTTTTGCTGTTGCTGGGAGTTGTTTTCCTGGCCTCGGTTTCAGTCTCATTTGGCATTGCATACTGGGAAAAGGAGAATCTCAGTCACACCAAGTGCCTCCAGAGTTGCAATAACGAGAAAGGCGCGTACAGGCACCAAGCATGCCACGCTCGTTGCAACCTTCTTAACGAGGAAAAAGAACATGAAGAATATCAACAACCACCACACCATGAGGAGGGACACCAACACGGTGAGGGCGAGGAAGGAGATGAAAGCAAACAACCACATCCATTCCCTTTCCCATACCAACCTCATCAACATGAAGATGAGCCTGCGCACGAACGGCATCACAAGAAAGAAGGAGAGGAGGAAGAGAAGGAGCAGCACCATGAGAGCGAAGGGAGTGAAGGTTCGGAATCACAAAAGAAACAAAAGAACCCTTTTCACTTCAGCTCTAACAGGTTCCACACTTTGTTCAATAATCAAAATGGTCACATTCGCCTCCTCCAGAGGTTCGACCAACAATCCAAACAACTTCAGAATCTGGAAGACTTCCGTCTTTTGGAGTTCCAGTCCAAACCCAACACCCTCCTTCTCCCCCACCATGCCGACGCTGATTACATCATCATTATCCTCAGCGGTAATTACTGATCAAACATCAGAACTTGCTTCTGCTTCTGCTGCCACAATTACTCATGATTAATTTTAATTACAGGGAGAGCCATACTTACCCTCGTAAAGCCCGACGACAGAGACTCTTACAACCTTCACTGTGGTGATGTCCAGAAAATCCCTGCAGGAACCACTTTTTATTTGGTTAATCCTGACAACAAGGAAACTCTCAAAGTAATCGCACTCGCCAGACCCGTTAACAACCCTGGCAAACTTGAGGTATTTCTATTTCTTCAAAACGAAGTATTTAATTAATTCTTCTTCTAATTTGTTTCTAAAGGGGAGATCAATCCTTTTCTTTTCTCTATAGACTTTTTTCCTATCTAGCACCGAAGCCCAACAATCCTACTTGCAAGGGTTTAGCAAGAACACTCTCGAAGCCTCCTTCGATGTAAGCAAGCAACACTCCATCTAATTACTTTCATTTCCATTTAGTGCTTTGTCCAATTGTTACAATAATTAAATATTATAATGCGTGTCAGTCCCAATTCAAAGAGATAAAGAAGGTTCTGTTTGGAGAGGAGGGACATCAGCAGTATGGCCAGGAGAGTCAACAAGAGGGAGTGATTGTGGAACTGTCAAAGGAACACATTCAGGAACTCAGCAGACATGCCAAATCTAGTTCAAGGAAAACCATTTCATCCGAAGACGAACCATTCAACTTGAAAAGCCGCAAACCCATCTATTCCAACAAGTTTGGCAAGTTTTATGAGATCACCCCAGAGAAAAACCCCCAGCTTCGGGACTTGGATGTCTCCGTCGGTTATGTGGATATGAACGAGGTCAGTGCAAAGAAAACATCACCCGTACAATTGAGTTTTCTATACTCTCTCTCCTGAGTCAGGGTTTTAATAAAACAATGATATATTTTTCATTTTTTGTTGACAAATTTAGGGAGGTCTTCTTCTGCCACACTACAATTCAAAGGCCATAATGATACTAGGGGTTAATAAAGGAGAAGCTAAGGTTGAACTTGTTGGCCTGAGAAAACAACAACAACAGTATCATCAAGAAGAAAGTATGGAAGTGCAGAGGTATGGAGCTGAATTGTCTGAAGACGATATATTCGTAATCCCAGCAGATTATCCAGTTGCCATCAACGCCATTTCCAATCTGAAGTTATTTGCTTTCGGTATCAATGCTGAGAACAACCAGAGGAACTTCCTTGCAGGTATATACATTATACATCTCCATCAAATTGAATATACTGCTATTACATTTTTGTTTAATGTATTGGATTATTTATTGATAATTGGTGATGCGTGGTTGAAAAATTGAAGGTGAGAAAGAGAATGTGTTAAGCGAGATACCTAAACAAGTGTTGGAGGTAGCGTTCCCTGGGTCTGGCAAGGAGGTTGAGAAGCTAATAGAGAAGCAAAAGGAATCCTACTTTGTGGATGCTGAGCCTCAGGAAAAGGAGGAGGGGCATGGTAAGGGAAGAAACGGTCCTCTTTTATCAATTTTGAACGCTTTTTACTGAAATAAAATGTATGCTGTAATAGCTCACTGTGAGTCCGAGGAAAGTATCGGACTATGTAACTATCACTTGAGCTCCACGTAGCGTCTATTACTAAATAAATCCAGCAGCTTGCAATGCTTTTGTTTTCTGTCCTTCAACTTTCTGCTATCTGTTTAGCCAATTTCATATGGTTGGCATGTGCAAGTATACTAAAGCATATATACTCATGAAAATGTCAATAATATCTATCTGAATCATAATGACGATGAAACTGATGTACTAAGGAATGGATTGCACGGCCAATTTATCTGAAAGGATCTTTTTTTTTTATTAAATGATAAATTTTAAAAAATTTTAGATACGACCAAGTCGTGTTTTGAAATAAATTTCATCATTAAAGAATCGTTTTTCAAAATATATTTTTTTATTTAAATAAAAGGACGTACACTAATAAATTATTTTAATAATTTTTTTAAGTCTGATGTATGATTTCAGTTATAATTATTTTTTAAATAGCCAATTAATTGATAATTTTAATTATTTTTATAATTATTAAAATTTTTATTTTAATATTAATAATTAATAATTAATAAAATAAATAATTTTTGAATATTTATACAACAATAATATTAAATGATTTTTATATAAATTAAATTACTAAAAAAGAAATATTAATACGATGAAAAAAATATTGTAAAAAAATAAAAAATATTGTAAAAAAATATCAATTTGGTTTGATTTTCGATCATAAAGATGAAATTGTATGGAAATTCCTAAAAGAATGTTTAGGGATCACATAAGTGTTGCAATCAGATTTAATATCACGTAGCAATCAGATTTAATGCATATAAGTGTTGCTCACATTCTGAACTTGATATTAATTTGTGGTAATTGAATACTCAAACAGAATTTGTGGTAATTGAATACTCAAACAGTAAAGATGAATGCTTTACTGAATTTAACATTCTGAACTTGATATTAGTTTGTGGTAATTGAATACTCTTTAACATTTTAAGTTTGACATTCTCTGTTTTTAATTTTCCAAAGACAAATTGACTTCATTTGTATCCAAAGTTGTTTTTGGATGTTACTAACTAACTATTGAAGCTTATCCCAAATTAGCCAAGATGAGAAAAATCAAATATTTGTTTGAATGTTACTAACTATTGAAGCTTTCATTTGTATCCCAAATGAGAAAAATCAAATACAACAAATATCAAATACAACAATTGAATCATGTATAAAGATTTTTTTTTCTAAGTTTGATGTTTGAATTTGTGATTATTGATTTGTTATTCTACTATGTTTAATTCTTTTATATAAATTATTAAATAATAGTAGAGTTATTATTGTTTAATGGATTTATGATGTGACATTATTTTTAAGTAATTTCTTATTGATATTAATTTATTAATTTTTTTAATACATTTTAAAAAATTCATATTCTCACTTCAACTATTTTTATTTGTTTTTTTAATGAAATAATTATATTTAAGTTATTTAATAAAATAATTATAAAAAAATTTAAATATTAATGTAAGATTATTTTAATAAAATATTATTTCAAATAATTAATATTTTATTTAACCATCTTAATAAACAATTTTCATTAAAAATACTAACACATTAAAATATATTAAAGTGATGATGAATTTACTTTAACTTATAAACATACTCTATACTAGAAAAAAAAATTTATGTTGGGCTAATTTTATGTTGGTTATTTGCTTTATTTTCATGTTTTATACCATTTTATTTATGTATGTAGATAATTTATATATATACTTTGGACTCTAATAAAATGTTAAATTTGAATTTTCTTTCTGTGATACACGAACTTTATGATATATTATAATGTTTTTTTTTTCCGTGATTTATTCTCTTGGATCAGAGGTTGCAAATCAATTACAAACAAATATATTGTTTACAGTTGTTTTTATGACAAGGTTATATTTGAGTTTTTGAATAAAATAATGTTTTTTTTTTCAATAAATTTGTTTACCTTTTATATCAGAAAAATTCAATTGACCCCAAAATAAACTAATCTGTAATTGATTAGATTAGTAGGGTCAACCTGTAAAATAATAAATTAAAGAATAATTCAGTTCTCAAAATTACAATATTTTGCACAAATTTATACAATCTTTTAAAAAATAAATTTTATAAAAATTATATTAATATCACTTTTAAAATACTACCAACAAATATATTAATTACTGTATTATTAAAATCCGATCTCAATTTGTAAAACAAAAACAAAGTCATTATAAAACATGCAATAGTGAAAGCACAAACATATCCAAAAGATTATTCCAAGATATTATTACTGTTGGGAAAGATATGAAGGAAACTGGTTTAAGATAATGCTAGTGATTTTTCCACACTTTCATCAATCACTTTATGGACCAGAGCACCATCAACCTTAACCTTGGTGCTTTGACAGTTGGGGAGCTTTTCTTTATAACTTCTCCAATCTAAAAAAATAAGTTTACAAAAGAAAACAAAAACAAAACTAAGTTCATTCCATTATGTTGAGCCATTGAACATGAGAGGAGAAACCATTTTGACCAAACCTCGGTGATGAAATTATTCTACCAATTAGAGACATCGGCTTAAATGAATGGACATTGAATAATTTAGACCATGTCTAATACCTCGACCATAGCTTCAAAAGTCGTCCAATTATTAGAATATGGAACTGGGTAGAACATGACCATCAAAATCAATAAAAGATAAAATTATGCTACAACAATAAAAGATCACTTACATTTTAAACATGTTCTTGAATTTTTCAATGTATGACCTTGAAAAGTGGAACTAGAAATTTTAGTTACACCTTCTTTCATTTACCAAAATTCATATATATATATATATATATATATATATATATATATATATATATATATATATATATATATATTTATGGTATTGAACAAACTTGGTGCTAATCCACGGTGACTTCTTTTTCTATAATAATAGAAAAATAAAACGTGATTGGTCAGAGATATATAATAACAGAAAACTAAAATGTGATTGAAATATAAATGGTAACAGGCGATTGAGTTAATCAGTGATTAATTTAGAAATTAAAATTGGAACTAGTGATCAATTTATTGTTTAAATGTGTCACCAATCTAACAACAGATTAAAAATCTAAACTCTGTCACTAAATCAATTATTAGAAGAATAATTATTTTAAAATGTAAGCATGATAGATATATAAAATATATATTAATATATTATATAAATTCATCAGAATAAAATAATTTATGAAGGTATAAATAATCATCCATATATATATATATATATATATATTATAAGAAAAAATATATAAAATAATTATTATTATCATTATATTCATAAAACAATTTATCAGTCAAATATATATATATATATATATATATATATATATATATATATATATATATATATATTACATCAGTTCTCAACTTTTTCATTATCTATATTTATAATCATATGAAACAACTAAATACACGTTGAAAATTTCATAAATAATCTTAAACTACATATTATAATTATAATATTGCACAAAGTAAACCACTGAAACACTTTTAGACAAGTCTTGATCAACAAATTGAAACTAGTGACTCAACTACCTTCTTTATGTGTTCATGCTCTTCGGTAATATTAAGGATGAGAAATCTAACTATGTTACAATAAATCATTTGTGCATTACTTGCACTGAGAGTCACAAGATTTAAAGTATATTTCACCATGGTTTTACAAGTCACAACACAACAACCAAAATAACATAACAATCAATGGATACATGAATTATGAAATACATAAAATTATTAGATTAGTATTATTAGAATAAGATATTAAATTATAGAACAAAACTTAATCAAATGGATTATAGTAAAATAAATTAAAATATATTGTTATTTACTAATATTTATGAAACATTTATTTATTTATATTTTATTTTTAAAATTATATTAATAGTCATTTTTAACATTACCAATTTATGTTTTTGTGACGAAAGTGATACATAATTATTAAACTCTTTTATTTTATCAGTAAAATTATTTATTAAATTAAATTTATAAATTTAAATACTAAAATGATGTAATATGGTTCAAAATAAATAAAGAGAATGCAGCATTGAACAACATGACACATGCATGAAAAAATATGAACTAAACAAATATTTCTTTTCAAATTCTTAAGCTATTGGAATGTATGAATGTTTGTTATAAATTTTAATTCAATAATTCAAAAGCTGAATATCTGTTATTTGTTATCCTGATAAAATTATTTTAAAATTAATTTGAAAGAGTTTCTAATTAAGTTCCTGTTTTTTAAATTTGGATTTATTACATTTTAATGACATTAGTGTGATCTTTAAGTCTTATTATACCCTTCAAGGTGTATCAAAATTTGTTTTATTTTTAAAAGTTTGAATGATTTTTTTTTCAAAAATAAAAAATGGATTTTTTTCAGTTAATTAACTTCGTTATGTCAATTTATTTATTCACAGCTTAATAAAAAAATTAATAAACAAATTTCAAGGTATAAAAAAATGTTTTAACTTTGCGATCATCAAAATAATAATTTTAGTTCATGTAACAGAAAAATAAAATCCATACTTTGTGATCATTTTTGTCTGAGAGGAACACAAGTAAATTATTTTCAAATTAGGAAAAAATAATCGCTTTCAAATATGAAAATAAAAGCAAATTTGATCAATTAAATAGTAATTAAGAAACCAATTGTTATATAATTAAAATAGGGCCTTTAGTATATCTTGGGATAAATTCTTCTAGGACTCAATATTGAAATTATGATAAATTAAAATAAGATAATTATCAATTCATCTCATCATATTCATTCTTTATTATATTTAAGCTAAATCTATCCTATTAACATGTTATACAATGGGACAAGAAGGTCTAATTAATGAAATTATAAATTATATAAACTTAAAAAGAATTAAAGAAACAATATATTAGACATAGACTAAAAAAATAATCTGACTTATAATTTCTCTCTAGTTTGGAGTGTCCTAAAACACAGTCGAGTAGGAATTTTGGATGAAGGATGTGCAAGAAAAAGACGAAGAACAGGGACCACAACATAATGTATCTTCTCAACGACCATGTCCAAGTTCTTCATAAAATTGCGACAAAACACAACCGCACCACCACACTTGGATTATTCACTAGCAGATAAGATGCGGCGTCCATGCATGTCTAATTGTCATGCACAGCAACACGTACTCAACATGCACTTTAAATTGCTCTGAGCCACAGCCAATGCGACTGAACAGAGTTCAATCATGAGCAAAATCACCTGTATATGTATGATTTCTCTTTCGCCACCTCAATTTGTTCACTTCAACACATGTCAACCAGCATACGCGTGTCATCCCATGGCCAAATGTCCATGCATGTTACAAGGACCTTCTCTCTTATATGATGGCTATAAATACCCCAACATCATTCAGTTGTTTCATCATCGAAACAGAGTAAAACTACAATATTATTCGATCCAGAACAGTAGTATAATAACCCAACCCAGGTGAGATTCAGTGGTACTGTACTATGTTGAGAGCAAGGGTTCCACTGCTGCTGCTGCTGCTGGGAATTCTTTTCCTGGCATCAGTTTCTGTCTCATTTGCCAATGTGCACCGGCAGAAGGAATACGGCAAAGAAGGCTCATATTCAGGAGGACAAAACAACCCCTTCTTCTTCAGCTCTGACAGGTCGTTCCTCACTCTATACAAAAATGAATATGGTCACATTCGTGTCCTCCAGAGGTTCGACCAACGCTCCAAACAACTTCAGAATCTTGAAGACTACCGTCTGGTGGAGTTCAAGTCCAAACCCAACACCCTCCTTCTTCCTCACCATGCTGATGCTGAATTCCTCCTAGTTGTCCTTAGTGGTATGTAATTAACTAATTCCAAGTGATTAAAAATCAGCACTTGCTTCTCCTCATAAATAATAATAATAATAATAAATTTGTTGATTACAGGGAAAGCCATACTCACCGTAGTGAACCCTGATGGCAGAGACTCCTACATTCTTGAGTCTGGGCATATCCAGAAAATCCCTGCAGGAACCGTTTTCTATTTGATTAACCCTGATGACAACGAGAATCTAAGACTTATCAAACTCGCCGTGCCCGTCAACAACCCTCACAAATTTCAGGTACTGTCTTCTCTAATTCCAAACTAACTTTTGAACTTATTTTTCTTCCAATTTTCCAAATGTGATGATAAATGTTTGTCCTGTAGAATTTATTCCTGTCAAGCACAAAAGCCCAACAGTCGTACTTGCAAGGGTTCAGCAAGAACATTCTGGAGGCCTCCTTCGATGTAAGCAAGCAACACAGCATCTAGCTATATATTTGCATTTCCTTATCTTGTAGTTTGTTTAAATGTCTCGCTGATTATACATATTTGCACAATTTTTGTAGAGCGAATTCGAGGAGATAAACAGAGTTCTGTTTGGAGAGGAGGGATATCAGCATTATGGCGAGGAGAGTCAATCAGAGGGAGTGATTGTGAAACTTTCAAACGAACAGATTCGTGAACTGTGCAAACATGCCAAATCTGGTTCAAGAAAAGCCCTTTCCTCCCAAGATGAACCATTCAACTTGAGAAACCACAAACCCATCTATTCTAACAAATTTGGAAAGTTTTATGAGATCACCCCAGAGAAAAACCCCCAGCTTCGGGACTTGGATGTCTCCGTCAGTTATGTGGATATGAACGAGGTAAGTGCAAAGAAAAGTACAATTGAGTTTTCTATACTCTCTCTCCAGAGTCAGAGTTTTAATAAAACAATATATTTTTCATTTTTTGTTAACAAATTTAGGGAGGTCTTCTTCTGCCACACTACAATTCAAAGGCCATAATGATACTAGGGGTTAATAAAGGAGAAGCCAAGGTTGAACTAGTTGGTCTGAGAAAACAACAACAACAGGATCATCAAGAAGAAAGTATGGAAGTGCAGAGGTATGGAGCTGAATTGTCTGAAGACGATATATTTGTAATCCCAGCAGATTATCCAGTTGCCATCAACGCCATTTCCAATCTGAAGTTATTTGCTTTCGGTATCAATGCTGAGAACAACCAGAGGAACTTCCTTGCAGGTATATACATTATACATCTCCATCAAATTGAATATACTGCTATTACATTTTTGTTTAATGTATTGGATTATTTATTGATAATTGGTGATGCGTGGTTGAAAAATTGAAGGTGAGAAAGAGAATGTGTTAAGCGAGATACCTAAACAAGTGTTGGAGGTAGCGTTCCCTGGGTCTGGCAAGGAGGTTGAGAAGCTAATAGAGAAGCAAAAGGAATCCTACTTTGTGGATGCTGAGCCTCAGGAAAAGGAGGAGGGGCATGGTAAGGGAAGAAAGGGTCCATTTGTGTACTGAATAATATAAATACTTACTAAAATGTATGGTGGAAGAGCTCATAGTGAGCGTGGAATTAATGTATCCGGCCATGTAACAATAAATTGAGCTCCACCTCACTTCTTTTATGAATAAACAAATGGAGCATATGTCTGCTTTCTGCTTGATTAGTTTGTTATGTTTGGCAGCTAATAATTTACTCAGATGCTAATGATATTATCTGAATATGACAAAGAGTATTAAATGAAATAAAGCTTTAAGAGCAAAGTAGTTGAAGCAAATCTTTGGTAGGCAATACGTGAACAAAGCCTTCGAAACATACGAGCAATAAAATGGCCAAGAACAGACAGAAGCTTATGTCAGAAAACGTAAATCTTATAAATCTTAACGTAATGTAATTATTTTTAAAAGTCGAAACACGTAAATCATCTTTATAATATATTTATTTTATTATTCTTTATTTTTATGGGAGGTCGAGCAGACAAAGGCTCTTACACTGGGAAAGGGGAGTAAGGTAAGAAAGGATGCATTTGTAAGAGCTCCAATTAGAATTATTTAGTGACATTCTGGAGAGTAAGGGAAGCAAGGGTCCATTTGTAAGAGCTCCAATTAGAATTATTATTTTAAAGAGTGACATTCTGCTGTAATACTTCTGGTGTCGTCATTCTGACCTTGGATTTTAATTTCCGCATCAATAATGTCTTGTCTTTTGGGCTACTAAAAAAATGTTGAGGCTACCAGATGTCTTTTGGGCTAAAAAAATGTTGAGGCTATCAATGACTAATGTCTAATGGATGAAAAACTGGTGGAAGTTTATGTAAACGTAATTACCTGTAAAGGGTTTTTGACGAAATTTGAAATGCTAGGTGGAGATAAATTACTCGGCTGAAAGGAAATCCAGATAAGGGCAATGCAATATTGGGCTAAGCACTCACTGAACTAGCCGAGAAGGTAATATGAAGTCATGTTTCAAATCATTAAAAAAGATGTCGCATAGTTACCAATAATATTGAGCACACCACCACGCTCCATCCTCTTCTTGTACATGATAGTCACAAAGTCAATTATTAGTTCGATCCATTAGGGGTCCTAATATCCTATTATTTTTGGACTAAGACGTTACTTTATTGCAATAGTTCCTCTGCCACATCTGCATTTGGTTATATATGAAGAAATACTCAAAAAAACCTTAGAATGTGCGGTATGAATCTTTGGGTACATCTGTATTTGGTTATATACGAAGAAATATCCAAAAAACTTAGAAGGTTGTCGACCACACGACCAATTGACAACGGTATGAATCTTTTGAAAGTTTGTTGAGATCTGTGTAATTGGGTACATTTTCTATTTTTCTTTTGTTTTTTCTTTCACTAAAACTATATTAGGTATTCATGTCGTGTATGATTATAGTTATGTCATGTATGATTAGATATTATTGCTAGTATTAGTATCAAAGCATTTGGGCAACACTTGAAATATTTAGACATTAACTCATCTCAAAATACTTAATAAACATCCTAAAATAACTTAATAAATATCCTAAAATATTTCGAGTAATTATAATAATTTATCCTTATATAAATAAGTTCACTATTTCATTAATATAATTTATCCTTATATAAATAAGTTTACATACTTAATAATAAAAAGAAATAATAATAATTAAGTTCATATTAAAAGAATAATAATAAAATATAATTATTAATATTATTTTATATTATTAATATTAATAAAAAAAATTATAACTATATCAAATGCAAAGAATATTAAGATAATTATATTAATAATTATAATACAAATAATAATAAAATAATATTAATAATGAATAATTATTAATAAAAAAATAATAAAATAAATAATATTTAAGTATATTAAAATTATAATTATTAATTATACTAACAAAAAATTATTTTACAACATTAATTATAATAATTATTAAAAAAAATAAATTGATGTAATTTTTATTATATAAATAATAGAAAATTATATTATTATTAAATGTAATAATTATTTAAAATATTTTTATCAATGTTATATTATTATTATTATTATTATTATTACTAAAATATGATTATTAAAAAAATAATTATAATTATTAATATTGATTCAATAGAAGGCATCCGAATTTGCTTCAATTATTTGGAACACGTGTAGAACAAGAAAGGAAGATAGATACACGTAAAATTTTTTTTTTTTAATATTTATGTCAGTGTGTGAAAATAATTTTTTATAAATCTAAGTAATCATAATTACCAGATATTTAAGAAATATTTCTGGATGTTCTGGATATTTTTGGATAGTCTGTAGTACTTGTCCAAATATCTCAAATGATCAAGTATACTTGTTTGTTATCTAGGTTTTACAATAATAATAATAATTATAAAAATTATTAATATTGATAATATCTCGATTATATAATTATAATTATTAATATTATTATCTTATTATTAATAATAAAATAATATTGATAATACTAATTATTAATTATGTCAAGAATGTAATCATATTTATCATTATTTAATTTATTAATAAATATAATAATAATTAAATTATATAATAAAAATTTTATTGTTAATTATAATAATAAAATAATAAAAATTATTATAATTATATTATTATATTTTAATAATTACTATAATTAATATTATAAAATATTTTATTATTATTATAAGTAATAATAATTTTAATATATCTTAATTATTTATTTTATTGATATTATTTTTATTAATAATTATTCATTTTTAATATTATTTTATTATTATTAATATTAAATTAGAAATAATATTAATAAAAATTATAGAATTATAATTATTAATATTATTTTTATTTGATATATTTATAATTATATTATTATTATTATTCCATTATTAATAATAAAATAAAATAAATATTAATCAGATAATAATAATAATCATAGTTATATTTTTTGTTATATTATTTTAATAATAATAATAATAATATGATGTTAATAAAAATAATTCATAATTTTAATTATAATATAAATTTTACTATTTATTTCATTAATATTATAAAATATATTATTATTAATTATAATAATATAAAAATTATTATAATATAAAAATTTAAAGTCATATTTTATAAATATATATAAAAATCGTATTATTTAATATGACTTATTTTAAATTGAACACTTAAATAGAAGACTTCTTCGTTTTAAAGTTATGTTTCATAACAATTATTTATATCCATAATTTTTTAGAATTTATTCATTTTAGTAAATTGTTTTTAAAAAAATACCCTTTACGGACCCAAAAAAAACCCACGCTGAAGAACCAAGAGTAGATTTTAAAAAATATAATGTGGGAACTAAAAGAAAAAAACAGTGTATTTCTCAGGGATACAAATGTTGATTGCTCCTACAAATTTTAAAAATACCATAAGTATTGATTGATAATAAAAAAAATTGTACTTTAAGAATACAACATGATCAGTACTTGTTTCATGTTTTTTTTTTCAAGTGTCTGTAATATTACACTTTAAAGAATTGTAAATAGAATCTTTATTATATCTAATGGCAGCAATAATTATATATGTGTTATTTAAGAGATTAAAGAAAATAATTTAGGAGTATATTCTATAGTGTTTAATATGTATTCCCGTGTAAATTAAAATATATTTTGTTTTAATAACTAACCTAAAAATCTTTTAATACTTAATTATTTTCCTCTTTTTATTTGGTGTATATAGTAATAAGACATGTCCAATGATAATTATTGTTTAATAATCAACCTTTAATCTCACAGCATGTTACATATGTGCATGGCTATTATGTGTCCAATAGTATGTCCTATAAATTTGTGAGGCTTATTTCTCCTCCATTGTCACATTACTTCCTTTCCTTTATCTAGTAGCTGTTCAAGTTCACCGAATCCATGTATATCCAAAAGAACTGCACCCAAATGCCATGCACAACAACACGTACTCACCAAGGTGTCCACACCATCCTGTTCAAATCACTCGTTATCTCAACAAACCAATCCATACATACTTTCTTTTGCCAATATCTCAATTTGAGTTAAATTATATATCCCCCACTAAACTAATAAATTTCTCTTACAAAAACGAATGACTTATTAAATAAAATAATAATAGTTAAAATTAGCTCTTATAATATTTTTAAATTATCCTGTTAAATTGTTTAATAGAAATATACATGATTGTGATGAGGTCTCCATCATTATTTATAAGTTGAAGTCATGCAAACAACCCCAAGAGCATTATTTTCCTCTGCCGCCTCAATTTTGTTCGATTGGACGACACACGTCAACCTGCGATCGATCCCGTGGCAAAATGTGCATGCAAGTTAATTACGAGACTCTTCTGTTGTATAACTATAAACACCCGTGGCATAACTCCAATGTTCTCATGACCAGAGACGAGTGCAAAACTGGACTTGTGTAACAATTAAAGCGTGTGCTTTATACTACTACAATGAGATCTCGGTTCCCACTGTTGCTGTTGCTAGGAATTGTTTTCATAGCATCAGTTTTTGTCTCATTAGCGGAGAACCCGAATGGGCGCAAGTGTGTGGAGATATGCGAGAGCGAGAAAGATCCGTCCAGGGTTCAAACATGCAAGCTTCGTTGCAAGCACGTTCCTGAGCGTGGGGAGAAAGAAGAAGAAAGAGAGATTTCAGAGCAACATCCATCTCACGAGGAGAGGGGAGATCGAGAGAGAGGATACCAGGAGGGTGAGAAGAAGGAAGAGGGAAGAGAAGGGCGTGAACAACCTCGTCCATATCCACCTCCACACTCAAGAGAGTATGAGCGTGAAAAAGAACAGTGGAAAGGATGGCATCGTCGTGAAGATCCCGAAGAGAGGGCGAGGGTGAGGCAGAGGGAAGAAGAAATAAGGGAGAGGAAGAGGGAAGAGGAGATAAAAGAGAGGGAGAGGCAGAGGGAAGGGAAACCCTGGCGACGTGAGAAGAAGGAGAAATGGGAAGAAATAGAAGAAGTTGAAGGTTTCCCAGAATCAGATTCACTAACACAGATCAACCCTTTTCACTTCAGCTCTAATAGATTCCGCACCCTCTTCAAGAACCAACTCGGTCACATCCGTGTCCTTCAGATGTTTGACCAATGGAGCTCCAAGGAACTTCAAAGCCTTCAAGACTACCGCGTCGTGGAGTTCAACTCCAAACCCAACACCCTCCTTCTCCCTCACCATGCTGATGCCGATTTCCTCCTCGTTGTCCTTAGCGGTGAGTAATCAACTTAATACTACTGATTAAACTTCATCGCTTAATTTTTGTATAAATCATGGTAATCAATTTTCTAATTACAGGGAGAGCCTTAATTAACTTCGTGAAACCCGACGACAGAGACACCTACTACCTTGACCCTGGTTATGCCCAAATAATTCCTGCAGGAACCACTTTCTATTTGGTTAACCCAGACAGAAAGAAAAATCTCAGAGTAATTAAACTCGCCATACCCGTTAACAAACCTCGCAAATTTGAGGTACTGTCTTTTCCTCGTAAATTAATCAATCCACTCTTCTTCTAATTTGCTTCCAAAAGTGAAGATTAATATTTGTCCTTTCTCTCTGCAGAATTTCTTCCTATCTAGCACCCAAGACCAACAGTCCTACTTGCAAGGGTTCGGCGAGGATATTTTAGAGGCCTCCTTCGATGTACGCAATCAAGACACCATCTAATTGAATTCCCATTTTGGGTTTGTCCAAATACTACACTAATTCAACATTATCGTTATATATATAAACATATATTTGCTTCATTTTATAGAGCACATTCGAGGAGATAAACAAGGTTCTGTTTGGAGAGGAGAGGCCGCAGCAAGACCCGCATAGGAGACAGCAAGAGGGAGTGATTGTCGAACTGTCAAATGAAAAGATTCGGGAACTGAGTAAAAGTGCAAAATCTAGTTCAAGGAAAACCCATTCCTTCGAATATGAACCATTCGACTTGAGAAGCTCCAACCCAATCTATTCCAACAAGTTTGGCGCGTTCTATGAGATCACCCCGGAGGAAAATACCCATCTTCGGGAGTTAAATATCCTCCTCAATTCTGTCGATATCAACAAGGTAAGCGCAAAACCATGGTGCCAAACTAAGTTGAGTTCTGTTGAGAATGATCTGTTTTTTTATGTTTTTTGGTTATCAAATTTAGGGAGGTCTTCTTCTACCGCACTACAATTCAAAGGCGCCACTGATACTAGTGGTTAATAAAGGAGAAGCAACCGTTGAACTTGTTGGCCTCAGAGAACAACAAAAGAAGCAGCAAGAGGAAGAAGAGGAAAGTAGGGAAGTGAAGAGGTATAGAGCTAAATTGTCTGAAGACGATATATTTGTAATCCCAGCAGCTTATCCAGTTTCCATAAACGCTACCACCAATCTGAATTTCCTTGCTTTAGGAATCAATGCTAAGAACAACCAGAGGAACTTCCTTGCAGGTAGACATATCGTAAATCACTAGAAATTGAATATACTGCTCTTTCTTTTTGTTTTATAGCACATGAAACATATATAGCTGTTTGGGTTATACATTTACAATTGGTTGTGCGTGATTGAAAATTTGAAGGTGAGAAAGACAACGTGATAAGCGAGATAGGTAGACAAGTGTTGGAGGTTGCGTTCCCTGGGTCAGGTGAGGATGTTGAGAAGCTAATAAAGAAGCAGAGAGAATCATACTTTGTTGATGCTCGGCCTGAAACTGGGAAAAAAGGAAGAAAGGATCCTTTGTCTTCAATTTTGGGCGCTCTCTACTGAGTAATGTACCGCAACACTTCAAACTAAGCGAGGAAAGTATCCGGCTATATAACTATATAATAAATCCATAAATTGAGCACCGGATTCCTGAATGCTCTCTGAATTTTCAATAAATTTCTGTGAATTTTCAATAAATCTCTGGGTCTCGGGTCTTGGGGATAGAAATAAAAATATGAAAAAGGAAAAACAATGTTTGATTCATATTAATATATAATAAGAAAATATAATTAGGAAAGAAAATCAGAAATAAAAAAGTGGTAAAAAAAGTATTATGAGAGGGGTAATAAGATTTTAAGAGTAGGTAAAAAAAAATGATATATTATAAGAGATTGGGAATATGATAAGTTTATAAAAATATGATATGATAAAATTAGGAGAATATGTCAGTTTATATTCTGGTTTGGTAAGGAAGAAACAAAACAAGTGAAATGTTGAATTAAATTGATAATTATGTCCTGCATCTTCAGGATTTGGTAAATAAACATGAAGTGTAAAAAAATTATCATTTTAAATATAACATAATATATATATATATATATATATATATATAATTTAGGAATAATAAAATTATTTAAAATACATAATATTTAGGGTTTTAATTAAAATACCTATAATTCATATAACAAATAATGTTTCAATAACTTAATTAGATAAATAACATAAACAGTTCTATTATTTAAAATACATATAATTTAGGGACGAGGAAGAAGTGCAAAGAAAACTGAAAAAATAAAATCAGTAACTCAATTAATTATATAACATAATATTCAGTTATTATGCTTAAAATATATAAAGTTTAAAATACATATAAAGAAGAAGGGTGAAGTAAAGTGTAACAAATATTTTAATAATTCAACTATTTATATAACATATTCAAAATCCATACAATCTACGTACAATATGTTGCTTAAAATATATAAACACATATGATTTAGGGTTAAAATATATAATGTTTAATACATATAATTTGACGAAGAAGAAATGTGAAGCAAAGCGTAACAATTTTTTTAACAACTCAAATAATTATATATCATAATTATGTTTCTTAGGGTCGATTTAATGAGTTTGAATTCATAAATATCTATAAATTATATCATAATATAGCTTAAGAGATTGTATAAGTATTTCTAAGCAAATTATTTTTTTTCTTCTATCATAATATTTTTAACACTAATAACTTCTTTATACTTTACATAGTAAATTCTGATAAAAATATTTTTCAATAGACTGTAAGAATATTTTGTTTTATTTAGTTGTAATTCGTCTAAAATATAAACAGATCTCCTTTTTCATTGTTATTTTAGCAATATTTTGCAATCCACATAAAAAACCTCCTTTTTATTTATTTCTTGTTGGATAAAATGTTAATAGTTTATATTTGTTTATAAATATAATTTTATAATTACATTTTTTTTATGATTGTAAATTTTAAAAGTTAATATTTTCATAAAAAACTGTTTTAGAAGTTAATATGTTAATCATGTAACAGAAATATTTTGAAGATGATATGCAATATTTTAGAAAGTGGAAGAGTGGGGTTCATTTTTTATAATTATAGATTCAATGTAAATTCGAAATAGAATATTTTTTCCATCTCTTACTAATTACAAATAGAATTTTATAGATAATTTATAAATTTTTTATTTTTTAATTATATATAATAATATTATAGAATAATTACTATTTTTAATATTATTATAAATATTCCTATTTACAAAAAGAATAACGGTGTAGAAAGACATCAAACATTTTTTTTTTACAAGTGAATAAAAACGTAGAATTTGTTAAAATTTGAAATATATAATTATATAAATGTGATCTTAATCTATTGTGAAAATAATCAATTAAATTTTAAAATTCTTATAAAAATTTAATGTAAATTTTTTTCTCACATCTTCTCAATTATTACAGATATAATTTTAAAATTATTACAAGTTCTTAAATTAATATTTTTATAATAAATCATATATTTGTCATATAAGACAAATTATTTTGGATATGATTTATGAAAAATAAAAAAGTTGTATTCAATAATATGTGAAGATAAAAATTTGAGGTTAAATTTTTATAATTGGAAATAATGGATTATATTTATATTATTGTCTTTTATATTACACCTTATTTTCTCCTCTCCAAGCACTCAGTCCTTCACCCTCTCATTTTAAACATCCAATTTCTTTCCCTTTTTTTTTTGTCAGTAATATATTGGAAAGGCAACTGTTTTCTACTGTGAACTTGACAAAATTAAAACATATATTTTTGTTGAATCTTTTGACAATTAAAGAAAATAAATTTTCATTATTGTTGTGTATATATTTTCTTTGTCAAAAGAAATAAAATACTAAGATTTTATCAAGTTTTAATATACATAAAAGAATCAACCTTAACATAATGGTGGTATATTTTGCTGTGCCAAAATATTTAATGAAAATTAATCTGGTGTGATGTGGGAAGAAAAACTGAAACAGAGAAAATCATGGCATGTTAGTGCATTTAGGTTTTCCAGGCATATAAATTCTCACTGAAGCGACTGTAATTCACCATTCTTAACCCATTACTCTGCGCATCCAATCTCATTAGCCTGTGCAAATTAAGAAGAAGCAAATGGCCCATTTATCATCAGCTAATTCTCTCATTCTTGCCCTTCTTATATTCACTTCAGGTTCTTCTTTTACCATTGTTTTGTTTTTCTTTGATAATTTTCACAACATCCTTTCTGGAACTGTGCACATAGCACCATTATTGAGAAAAAGAAAACATAAAAAACTCGATTAAATCTCTATATATGCATTACAAATTAGTTTTACTTTTTTGCAGTCATATCCGAGGCCAAAATCTGTGAGCTAAGCGTAGTAGGAGGTGGTTGTCCTGATTTGAAACAATGCACCGAAACGTGTGTTCCTTGTTATCGGGGCATAGGTGAAGTCCACGCGTACTGTCTTCCTGCAAGTGCAGCATTTCCATATGATCAATGTATCTGTAGCATGCAGAAAGGTGCACCCTGTAACCCTGATGGGCCACCACGGTGCCCTAGACCATGGCCACCAGCAACGACTGCTATTGCCACCAACCAAACTCAAACTCACAGCAACGGAACTGCATAAATCAAATTCTCGTTAACTCAGAATATTCAAAATTCATTACTTTTAGTGGTTAATTCCTATTTATTGCATATTTAAATTTGTAATTTATAAGAAAAATATAATAGTATTTGATTATATATTGCACAAATATTAGTTTCAGGGCTGTCTTCGAACTTTCTAACACAATTTTTAGATGTATCTTTTATTATTATTTGAAATTTAGTAAAAAAATATAAAAAATTTAAATCTATGTCTTATTTATTACTTTTTTATTATAATTTAGTAACTTAAAAATAAATCAACTAATTAAATTTTTATTCAATAAATTGTATAAATATTATTCCTTAGCGGAATTACTAAATAATTCCTCGAATTATCGTACTCATTTTTCCAAAACAAATATTTTCATTTATAATTATTAAATAAATTTTCATTAGGTAATGATAGAAAAAATATATTTAGTTGATTATGAATCTTCAAATAACAAATTTATTGTAACTGAATAAGATGAAAACATTATTAAATTATGTTAGCGGTGAGGATAATTGTTTTAATAAAATTTGAAATAAATAATTAAAATCAGTGTACAAATATACGTAAAGTATCAAAGTATAATAAAAAAAAGAAGATTTTTTTAAAGTTAAATTATCAAGCCACCTAAAACAGTAATGAATAGTTATTATAAGAAAAATAAAAAAAATTAATGTTAATCAAATTGATTTTTGTTTTTTGCCATTTTGTTATTGTTATCTATGAACAATTATAGTGCAGCATAATATGTTACTTTTTATATCACTTTTTTATAATTCAGTATTTGTTTTTATTTTTAGTCTTTATGAACATGTTATTTTTATTTTTATGCTGAGTTGGTAATTTTAAGAAATATGATGACTTTATTATCATATCATGATGATATTATATCATTATTATATTCAATATTTAAGAAAAAAAAACAAATGAAAAACAATGAAGAAATCAAATAAAAACATTCATATATTATAGAATTTAATAAATCAATAAATAAGAATGATCTCATTTAAAAATATTAGTAAGAAAAATTAATAATTATTTGAAGGGTTTAATAAGCATAAATATAAATAGTTATCATTTTGATAGTTTAAATAATTCTCAAAAAACGCTAGAAACTATTTAAAAAAAAATTGTTCATCAAATATTATTAATCAAACTAAATAATTTTTTCAGGTTGTAAAAAAATAAAAGTTCAAAGTTAGCTTAAAAGTCTTGTCAAACTCATTTTTATTAATAAAATTAACAAATAAGTTCAATAGAAGTCAATAACATAAATTAATTTTAATTTATTATTAAAAAATCAAACTTATAATAAAAAAAATTATTTTTTTCTTCTTATAATGAAAAAAATAAATCAATCTTTATTCTTTACCTCACGAAAATGACCTCGACGTGCTTAGTAAAATTAATGAATAAGTTATTGTTAATTAAATGTTAAGAAAAAAAACTGCAAACTGAAAAAAGTTGATAATATATAGTTTATTAACATACAAATATTTGCTAAAAGTAAGTTAAAACATTTTTAAATTAACTGTTAATATAACTGATAAATATGGAATTACAAAGAAGTAATATAAGGTAAAAAAAATTAGAAACTTAAACAAAATTAAATGTTACATTAACTAAGTTCTAAAAGCATTATGAAGACGCTAGAAAATGCTAATGAGATTCTTCAGTAAATACATCTATTTTGATCAGAGAAGCTACGCATTCTAATCTAACTTAAAAACCTTGGCAAAACACACTTCATGGTCAGGATTGCATTCTACCAAAATCATGCTATGCTCGTCTTTGTTTCCATTTCCGTCTACATCTCAATATTCGAACTTGATGATGGAGGATTTGCAGAGCTATAAGCTTTGTAATTTTCTTCTGTTGGTACAAGGTACATTTTTGATGCATCATCATCATCTAAGCGTTCGTCTATATATATAGTACACAACATATAGAAACATATTTCAGATTAATACCAGAGTCTAAAGTTAATATAAATTAAAAGTCATATTAATTATGGCAACCATATATTACTATTAAACTAAAAAAAAAAAAAAGTGTTAATGTAATATTTTCCTTTTAGATATATATATATATATATATATATATATATATATATATATATATATATATATATATATATGTCATGTAAGAATCAGATGGAAGCAGCTGAACTTACCCCAAAATATTGGGTTTCTGCAGCGGCCACCACACCACCATTTGCAGAATGCTGCGGGGAACATGCAAGCACGGTAGCAATAACTGTTGCAGTCTTCTCGTTTTTCCTCCAAAGTCATTTCCTCATCATCACATACACCCACCGCAAGCCACATCAACAACAATGCAACGTGTTTTTGTCCCATCTTCATTTCTTCCTTTGTTTTTCAAATTTCTTCTATTGTGTTTTGTTATAGTTTTTTTTTTTTCTTTTGTTAATTCAATGATTCCTTCATCCCTTGTTCCTCTCCTAGTTTTCGAAGAATGACTGATATATATAGCTAGATAAGTGACTCCTGAACCACAAACAACGTCATGGTTTCTTCCTAGAATTTGGGATTCTTGCGACCAAGTGTCATAATTTTAATGCAAAGACATTGTAAATTAAGTATTAATTATTGTTTTATATGAAAAAAAAATGTCACTCTTTCTTCTTTGGTGTGTTTTGTCAGTCAAGGGTACGAAGGGTACCCTTCAATTTATTTGTCAACCATAACCATGATCTAAATTTAATAATGAGGTTAAACACAAGTTTACTAGTTCCTCATTTTAAAAATATTCTATTTCTTTGGTTATCCTTGAAAGAAATAGCACAATCTTCATCGGCTCTCCCTGAATCTTCATGTGGTTGTTTATTTGTAATATCTATAATTGACATGCTAGCTTTGTCTCCTACACATAGACACTGGTTGAGAACTATACAAATGTTGAAATGGAAAACTATTTTTTATCCCTACATAATTTCTCTATATAAGTGCTATATATATATATATATATATATATATACAAATTTTACTTTTTCAATCATATTCATGGCTAATAGGTACCATGTGAAGTAGCTATGTGATAGGAGGTGATTGTCTTATCATGCATGCCCCAAACCATGGCCACCTACATGATGCAATTTTTTAAATTTATTCATCTCAAATGCAAAATGCTAAAAAATATTATTTAATATGCGGTGAACGTGGATCGAACACGTGACCTTCAGATCTTCAGTCTGACGCTCTCCCAACTGAGCTATCCCCGCATTTGATTTATTTTTTCAAATAATATTAAAATTATCAATGTAACTAATTAATATGTTAATATCAATGTAATAATGATATTTTTATATCTTCTGATATCTTAACGTTCAATGTTAAAAAATCTTACCTACTGAAATTAAGTAATTAAGAATATTTGAAATTACAATAAAATAATACATATAAAAAATCTCCTATCCAAGTTTGTTTTTATTAAATTAATAATATCCTTAGCTTAAATTATAAAATAATTTCCTTCAAATGTATTACAAAACATAATACACAATTAAAAAAAAAAGAATTAAAACAAAAAATGCAAATAAATAATCAAATGTGAATTAATATATAAATAAAAATAAATTAAATTATAAAAACATGAATAAATTAAATAAAAAAATAAAAGATGAATATATAAAGTTACTTTAAATAGGTTAAAGTTATTAATATAAATAAATTTAATCTGTTTTAAGTAATTTTATTTGTGAGACGTAGTATTTTATTTTTAAAACTTTTCGAAACATCTCTTCTAATTGAAGATAGTCTTCATCTAAGTAAACGTGGAGAATTGTGGACGGACGATTTTATAGTTTTTCTTGTTTGAACACTTATATATGCACAATTTGTTTTCATCCATATAATTATTCTACAAATTAATGTAATAATAAATATAAAAATTTAAAACTGTTATTATTATTATATTAAATATGTTATTAGATGGATATTTGATTAAATAAATATCAAAATATAATTTTCTTTTATAAGTGCTGGGCTGGATTGATGCTTCCGTGATAGCAAAATAAATATAATGTAAACAATATTAGAAAAAATACTGAAAACAAATAAAGAAAAATAGGATAGATTCTGAATTTAGTAACTTTTTTTTTTAATTATACTATATTTATGAATTAAAAAAAATGTTTTAACAAGTGATGATTGGTTTTAAACGAAAACAAATGTTTTCAATGCGAGGTGTTGTTAATATATTACTTTAGGATATACCTTAATTTTGATAACTTAGTAATGTTTTTTCAAACTATTATATTGCATGGATTCCTGAAATATATTACAAATATACTATATGCTTCATATAAAAATCAATTAATTTAGATGCAATAATCCTAATTTTTTCCACTATATGTTTCAAACAAAATATTGGAACATTCTTTAGGTAAAATTTAATATCTTGGTTTTAAATAAATTTTATTAATTTAAATTAAAGTCTTGTTAATTTAATAACTATAATATTACCAAATTGTCAAAACTCATCACATGCTTTTAAGAAGAATTCTGTGACCTTGGAATTTTTCATACTGAACTTAGAGATAGTAGACATCATCCTATCAAGTCAAAATTTATTTTCGTTTATTTTATGTCACTTTGATAATATATATATATATATATATATATATATATATAAAAGTTAAATTTAAAAATTAAATAAACATTTTAAAACTGATTTCAGTATTTCGAATTTAATATTTAAAGATTAAAATTCTATATTTACAAAATTTGAGGATTAAAATATTCTTTTTAAATTTGAGAGACTAAATATTATTTACCTAGTTTTCAATGGTTATTTGTATTATTAAATTAGTTTTTATATAATTGGTCACTGTACTAATCTCTACATATTTGATTACCGAACTAGTTTTTATATATAATATAATCACTGAACTGGTATCCATATAATTAATTATTGAATTAATTTCTATATAATATATTATTGATTTTTTTCAATATAATTTATTATTGAATTTATTTAATCAAAATTTATTTCTAATATTAAGTACTTATTTTAAATTAATTTTTGTATGATATTTATAAATTACTAATTTTTGCTATTCATTTTTGTGGAACTTAATTTACATCGTTCGAACTTGTTATCATCCTAAGTAAAATAAATAAATATAAACTATAAGATAATTATATATATATATATATATATATATATATATAATTATATATATATATTTATATATTTATATATATATATATATATATAATTATATATATATATATATTATATATATATTTATATATATATAATTATATAATTATATATATTTATATATATATTTATACATAGCGTGAATTTGTTTTTTAAAATACTGAAACTATGAAAATAATAACGTTCAAGCGGGGATAGCTCAGTTGGGAGAGCGTTAGACTGAAGATCTAAAGGTCGCGTGTTCGATCCACGCTCACCGCATTTGCTGTTTAAATTTTTATTTTCAATATGAACCTTTTGTTTGCACTTGTCTAAAAGACGAAAGAATAGGAACCCTATTTTTTTTTTATTTTTTTTCTATCTAAATAAGAAGAATCCGAAATTAATTATAGTAAGGAAGAGGTGAGATTGTTTATGGTTGAGGAAGAACTTAAGGAGGTATATATAGCAAAGATTGTTGGGAAAGCAAGGCTGGGAAGGAGGAAAAGAAACCAACAACAACAGGAAGAAGCAAAAGAAAAGAAAATGGGGAAGAAATGCATAGCGTTGTTGTTGGTGTGCCTTGTTGTGGTTGCAGGTGCTGGTGTTGAGGCGGAGGAATACAGCGATGAACAGAAAGAGTGCTTCAGTTATTGTTGGCATGGTTGCTTTTTTCCTACAGCATTCTGCAATATGTGGTGTGCTGGTGTCTGCAAACATCCTATCAATTTGGGTAACTTCATTTTTTTTTATTCTTATTAATTAATTACTCCTCTTTTATCTATCTACTGTTTATAATTATTTAAAAAAAAATGTTTATGCGTTGATTGCAGATAATAATAACTTATATGGTGAAGAAAAATATCCAATACAAACCGACAATGCTCTCCCATGAAGGACATTACAACATTTACTCTCTCCCTCCCATCATTAAATACTATCAAATTATTTTTCACAGTATTCTCATTTTCTTCTTTCCTTTCCTTTCCTCTCTTCCATTCTTCACTTTCTTAGGTTTACATTCTACTACTCAAATCATAGCCTGTTTTGCTTCAAATACGTTATCCAAGGAGACGGACCCAAGTGGATAATTTATTTAAAAAATAATAAATAATAAACATTATTATCATATAATATTTAAACTTAATATTTTTTTTATATTAATATAAGAGATTGTTATTTCATAGTGGAATAAATATGTAATTTTAAGAAGTGTAACACATGAAATATTAATACATTTTATTGTAATTTTAAAAATTACTAAGGGTCCACCACTTGTTATTGAGTTTGGTTAATGTCGAATTCAGTAAATTTATTCTGCTAAACAAATGTTTATGGATAATGATTTTATCATAATTAACAACTTGAAAACCTTCATATAATAATAATAATAATAATAATAAATTTTATTATATTTACATAATTAAATTATTATAAAAGAATTGCCAAGTAATTGTATATAAAAAATAGAATTATCAATATATCATTATCCAATATTTATTTTGTGTAACGCATAAGTAAGGGGATTATGTTTTCCTATATTATTTTCAAGTAGAGATAGGAGAAGGGGATTGACGAGGCTACGATCTTAAAAGAAAAATATTTTAATTTTTTATTAAAAAAATATATAATAATTCTCTTAAAAATTATTTATTTTTAAATTCATTTTTAAAATTTAAGTTTTTTATTTCGCTTCCGTCTTCAAGTGAAATATGAAAATTCGAATAATGTCACAGAATTCTTAAAAACTATGAAGTTTTGACAATTTAGTAATCCTAAAATTGTGACATGCCTCGAGGATGTGTGCGTGTCCCTCCCAGTAGAGCAGCCTCCGCTGACGAGGAACATGGTAAAAGGGAAAACAAAAAAATAGACGATGAAAAGTTTCAAAATATTCATCGAAAATAATTGGATTTAACAAGTTTTTTTTTTTTTTTTTTTTAAGCTGAGAGTTCAACTCCGATCCATACAGTCTCAAAACAAGGTGCAAGCGGAGAAGAAGAGCTACATATTGGATTTTGGTTTTGCGTAAACTTATAGATGCAGATGTTTCTCTGTTCAGGTGAAAGAAAGATTTGAACCTGATGGGAAAATTTTAAATTTACCAAAAAGTTATAGTTGAAAATGATTTTCTACTTTTAATAGATTTTTCTACTTTCTTTCCAAAAATGGAACTGAACAGTTTACATTAAATATGGTGGTTGAATTACATTCTCTAGGAAGAAAAATTTACCTACGAGAAAGAAAGAATATTAAATATATGCGTATCTTCTTCACCTAATTTAAGGAAAAAAAATATAATAGACTAACATTGTTCATAAAATGTATTTTAAAGAAGTAAATTAAAAAAGTTAAAGTGTATTTATATATATTAACATTTTAAATTTTACTTTGATAAATATTTAAAATAAAATATTATGAATTATTATAAATTAACTATATATTTATAAAATATTCACTACTATATAGTATACTTTTCACAAGATATAGAAAATATGTTCATCGTCGGTTCCTAGATGAACCGAGCGTGAAAAGTGTTTTTATTTTTTTAGCCAAAAATTCGCTTAAGTTAAAAAAATTTACTTGGCAAGATTCAAACCCAATATTTTAGAGTTAGAAATTGATACTTCAACCACTAAACTACTAAATTTTTTTATAATAACTTATAAATAAATTATATTTATATACAAATAAATATATATCCGTATAAATATATAAATATAAAATATATAAATACAAATATATTTATATATTTTGATATATTTATATAGTTATATATTTATACGTTGAATGTGAGGGTGCACTCGAGAGTGAAAGTGAGATTGATGCTCGTTTGAGTAAAAATACGTCCAAACTCACGGAAATTCACTCGCTCAAGTGAAACTATTTCGCTTGAGCGAAAATTGGTATTTTTTTGCTTGAGCGAATGATGCGTTTCCCAAATTTATTTTTATCATTATATAAATAAATTATAAAGATTATATTCTATCATTAAATTACAAATCCATATAAAGAGACACGCTCACAAATTTGATATCAAATTTTGAAAACCCACTCGACACACACTTTGACCTTCAAGCGTGCCCTCACATCCAATATATAAAATATATAACTATATAAATATATCAAAATATATATTTTATATTTATATATTTACACGGATATATATTTATTTATATATAAATATAATTTATTTGTAAGTTATTATCGAGAAAATTTTAGTAGTTTAGTGATTAAAGTATTAGCCTCCAACTCTTTAAGTTACTTGAGTTTGAATCATTTATATAACATGAATGTTATATAAATAACATTCATGTTAAGACTCATAAATTCATGTTGAAGGTATTTCATAACCAACGTGGAAGACCTTATCTAGAGTAATGAATTTAATTACTACTCTCCATTAAATATATTTTAAAATAACATTAAAAAGATAAATTTTAAAATAAACTTAATACAATAGCGGATGTTGTCATAATATTTGTATATATACTTATATATCTAAAAATAAAAATATAATGTTATTAGTTTATAACAAATTTACTTTTACTTACCAAATTTATATAAATAACAAGACTCATAAATTCAATTATATTATAAATATTAGTTTAACGTTACTAATTTTATCAATTGTGTAAAAGTTTCAATTTCATTTATTATAAACACGATTTTAAAAATGTATTGTCCAATTTTGTTTTAAAGTATGTTTAGTGAATTGTTTAAAAATAATAATTCATTATATAATTTAATAAATTAAAAATAAAACTAAAATTGTAATAATCATTATAAAATGAAGAAAGTATATCTGAATAAAAAAAAATTAGAGTTACTTAATTGATCCAGTAAAAATACACTCTGTTTTTGTTTATTTAAATTTATAGATTTTTCCTCAGCACTTTTTATTTTGAAAGTATAACAACTAATATATTTATATGTGTTTCTATGGTTTACAATTTATATATTATGTGTAATGGAATATTGATATATTTTACTCTCTTGGTGAGATTATATATATAACAAAAAAAACATTGAGCTTTTAATTTTGTTCCTTAAAATTGTTTTCTCTTGATTTCCCTATCTTTCACGCATAAAACTTAATAATTTTAGAGTTTGTTCTCTATATTTTAGGTGATGATCACGGAAATGGAACTACTCATACAAAAGATAATCAACATGAAAAAGAACATTTTCGTTAGTTAAAGAATACATATATCTTTTACTTTAAATAAATTAGTACATTTTGTAATGTAATTCACAAGATAATATTCTTTATGTATATAACTCATATCATAATTATACGTACATATAAATCTTTAAAAATATTTAGAATTGACTAATTAAATTAGTGGCAGAATATGTGTATCGCTAAACGTATTAGATTAAAGTAACGAAAGTGCAAAACATATTTTTTCATATCATCCGTATTGGTGACGAAAGATTTTAGCGACTAAATTTTCCTTCCGCCAGTATAGATTTCAGCGTTTCTAATGACCGCATTTTCCAGCAAATTATGTGACTGAACTGATTTTCATTGTGTTTTTAGTGTAAAATATTCAACTATTATATTATTTAATTGTTCAATTTCATTTTCTTTAAGGTAAATCAATTTTTTAAAATTAACTATTTTATTTTTGTTGATATTTTATTTTATTTTATTTTATACTAACAAGATAAAATACTAATCAAATTTGAAGAAATTTATCATTTTCTTCTTCGAATTTTTAATATATCAGTTCAAATTTAAAGATATTTATCTTTATCAAGACTTTTATTAAAATAGTTTTGTCGGTGGTATTTTTTAGGATGCGAGTGTCGTAATTTAATTTGTCACACCTAATTATATTTATTTGATTTTATTTTGTATAATATTTAAGAAAATAAAAAAAATAATTTCTTACTTATTAACTATTTTACTCATTTTTTAATAATTATATTGTCATACATATAATCATTTTTATCACGTTATGAGATTATAATTTTATATTATAAAATTATAATCGTTTTTTATATTTATCGATTTTATAACTTTTTTTATATATTCATTTATCCAGTTCTTAAATTTTCGATTTACTACTTTTGTTTTTTTTTTCAATTTTTTCTTTGATTTTTATAAATTTGTGATTCTCCAATTCTTTAATTTTCATTCCAATAAATAATTATTAATAATCTATTATTTAATTATTTGATTCTCTCTTACTACCTATTAATTAACTTTTTAATATCTTAATTTTCACTTTTTGAATTTTCGGGATCTATATTGTCTTAATATTGATTTTTACTATATTGATCATAATTTTTACCATATTAATCATCATTCTTATCTTTAATTTTAATAAGTTTTTCAACTCATCTTTTGATATATTTGTAATTTTAAGAAAATTCGCTAAACAACACTTTGAGATGCAGATTTGCTACATTGTTAATTAGTAACCAACTTTTATTTGGAGACAGAAGTATTCAGTCGCTAAATTAAGATACATTCCCATATATTATTTATCCATTACATTTTTATTTCTTTAACATTTAGTGTAAAATAGATCTTTTTTGGGAACAATTTTAACAGAAGTTACTTTGGTCTCAGTTACTTATAAGCAACAGTGTTTATAAAAAATTGTCATTGGAGTAATTCGATGTGGTAACAACAATTTTAAAAAGTTAAACATCTTATATTATAGAAACAACTTTTTTAAGAGTTGTTTTTTCCAATTTTTTTCAATTTGTTCCTGTAGTTCTTACCAACATGATTCATAAATCAGAAAATGCAACAAACGAGAGAAGAATGCTCATAGCAAATCCCATTAAAGTCGAAAGTGGTAATTGAATGATGAGTTGCTTATAAGAACCCACTATTAGGGTGTGAATTTGTAAAAATTTAAAGTGAATTACTTAAATATGATGTGACGTTATGAGCCTCACTTACAAACCTAAGATATGTTCTTATAAAAACCCACCGTTAGAAATACTTTTAATAGTGTCTTAATTATCTAGAGAATATTAGGTTTATATTTATTTTGTTAAGACTTCTCCTTTATATATAATGAGTTTAACAAAATAATTTTAAAATATATTTTAATGTTTTTCTAATTTGAACGGTCTTCATTATATAATTACATAGGAATCTATATTTTCATATATTTTTTAACTTTAAATTTTAGAACTTAAAAATTATTTTTTTATTATATTGTTAAAATAAAAATAATTTAAAATATTATATTTTGTTATCAAGATTAATTATGATATATAATATTTATTATTTAATTTTTAAGTTTTCTTATAATATCACATCAACTTGTTTTGCAAACTTGTCTAGAACATCTATTTTAAAATACTTTAAATATTTATTTAATTAATTTTCTCTATTCTTAATATCTTTATTTCTCACGTCATAATAAAATAAGGGGTTGAAAATGACAAATGATTGAAAGGATATGAAGTCATAATTATGTATTTTGTTTAATTAAAATATATTTCCTGTTTTGTTTATCATATAAGTGTCATATTTAAAAAAAAATTAAAAAAATGTCTCACTAATTTTAAAATGATTATATTTATTAATAATCATTTAGGATAATTATATAAAGAGAAAAGTATTTTTTTATTCAGAAATTAAGATTAAAACAAAACCTTGTTCCAGTATATTTTAGATCACAAATACTTAATTTCATTTAACATCTTTTTTTTAATGGTAATATTTTAAGATATCAAATAAGAACTATTAATCTGTATATATTATATAAAATACGTAAATGTAAAATCAAACGCGGGGATAGCTTAGTTGGGAGAGCGTTAGACTGAAGATCTAAAGGTCGCGTGTTCGATCCACGCTCACCGCATTAATATTTTTAAATATTAAAATTAATGATTTATTTTGTTTAAATATAATTATTTTATTTAAATATACTATACAAAGTTACATGAAGGATTAGACAAGGAAAATGGAGGAAGAGAGACGAAGTTATCCCATAACGGCTGGGTTTTTGCAGCGGCCACGACACCACCAGTTGCAAACAGAATGATGGATGACAGGGCAACCATTGTAGCAAGAATCGTAGCATTCACCTTGCACTTGCGAGGAGTCCATAACCTGCTCTTTTACTTCTTCCGCACTCGGAGTTACTATGAGGCACACCACCACCAACAGCAACGCAACAACACATTTCTTCTCCATTTCTTTGCTGCTGTTGGTGGTGCTTCTTTTGATTTTTCCCCTTCCCTCACCTTGCTATTGCAGCAACCAGAGGTATTTATACAATCTAATGCTACTTCCTTGCTAAATATATCCACGGTTGCCCTAACTTTAAGAACAGAAAAATTTGGAAATCTGAAAATAGGATTTGTTGCTTCCATGGTTTCTCTGAATCTCCATTGGTGTCGCTACGACGAATGAATGACAAGTCATGAAGATAGCCAGAGGAGGAAAATACTATGTTTAACATAGATTATAGAAATTACTAATTAGTTAAAATTTGTTAATCGTAAATTTGAAAAATTCAATGATTAATTCATTAAAGTGGCTCATTATCGGTTAAAAACATGAAATGTTTTTTCATTTTGATTATTATAAATTTTTATCCAAGGATCAATTATTTTAATCACATTTTTTGTTTAAGTTATTATATTGTTTTTCATATTGTGTACTTTATACTATTAATGTCATACATTAAAGAAACTCTAATTAATTGAATTTAAAACAAAATAAAAATAACATCAAATCGTACTTCTATTATATTAATTAGTGTGGTGATCATTGCATGTTTAAATAAGATTGTAAATATTGTCACAACTTTTAGAATATACAAAAATAAAATGATAAAAAGTAGAAACTAATACATAAAGTGTAAGGGTTAGGGTTAGGATTTTTTATTTCATGTATTACTTTAATTATGTTTGGTAAAATTAACTGGAAATTTAATTAAAAGAAGAAAACTGATTGAAATTTGATTAGTTCATAGGTCTACGTTAATAGTTTGAAAATTGCTAAACTAGTTTATTAAATAATAGTTATTTGGTAAAAACTATTTATTAAATTACTTAATCAATATAAAATAATATAAATTTTAATTCATGGATAAAAATATATTTTGGACATTTATAGTTATATTTTTAGTTTAAATTAATTTAAACTTTTTAATTTTTATCAATCATTTTACTATTAATTTTTTTTTACTTTCAATTATCATAATGTGTTCATATTTAACCTATATATAACTAATGTTGAGTTATCTATTGTTGCAATATTTCAATCAATTTTAAAATAAAAGTAAAAGTTGAATTTTTAAGTAGACATAATATTTTTTTAATTGCATTGATTAATATAATTATTACACAATAATATAATAAAAAAAATCACAATATCAATATTTTTAATCCTAAGGTTAATAGTAAAATAAGTACTGGAAATAGTATAATAGTTAAAATAAAAATGTAATATATAAAAAAAAAACATTATTATAAAAACTAAGAACTGATATTTTGAAAATATTATTTGAAATAGTATTTCATTATTAAAAAAAACAATTAGAAGAATTCAAGGTGATATCTTATTTCTTGTTTCACCGAAAATAAATTTATGATGGTATTGAACTTGAATCCAAAATAGATAAAAGATAATATGATATGATGGCTCACTTTAACTCCATTATCTTTGACATATTTAAAGTTTGAACATTGACACAGTCTGAGAGGAACATAAATTCTTATAAAGAATATGTTGCAATATGTTAAAATGTTTTATATTATTCAAGATTCGAAATCAAGTATATTTGTATATTTTCTCATCCTGATCGCTCAAATGGTTTTTTAGGAACAAAATTGTATATTTTGTATATAGATTTGATTTCATTTTCATTAATTTAATTATAGTAATCGTATAATGTCATATTTTTAATTGAATAATTTGATTTATATATATTTTTTCCTGAGAGTCAATCAAATTTGATTTGATATTTGTTTAAACATTGTCAAATAATAGATAAAATGAGATACGAGACTATATAAAATAAAAGTCGTTGAAATTGAAGAAATTAAAACATTATTAACGAAGAATAATTTATAAAATATTTTCATCCAATATAAGTAGTATTTTGATTTATAAGGATATAATATAGGACTGCATAAAAAATTGACTAAGAGTGAACTTTTAATTTTATCAACAATTAGAGATTATTTAACATCAGCAAGAAGGGAAGGTTAACTTTTATAAATACTATATTACAATATCCAATACGCCTGAAAAATATTTGTTTAGATATAATTAAGATATAGAAAATATTTTACATTTCAATTCATATTAAATAAAAAAATAGAATATAAGTAATATCTGTATTTAAATATAATGATCTTAATGAATAACTCATATTCAACTGTTATATATATATATAAAAGAAAGAAAAGAATAACATGAGAAGAAGATGGATAATATATTAATGTAATGATACTGAATACAGGAAGAGAGGAAAGGAGGATGAGGACATGAATAACAAATTTGTGTCCTTGTTTATGAGAAAGCCCTATATTAAGCCTCAGCAAGTGTATTTTGCCCTTTGTGCTTCTGTTTCCTTTTTGTTCATCTCATTTCAACTTATGCTACGACCTCTGAGCCCTTAATGAAGCTCTTGATTTGTCTCTTTTGTTTCTTTCACCAAGTATCTTGAATCTTTCTTGATGGTTCTGGTGCTGCTGCTGGTGCTTCCATTGGAATAGCTGCATCATACACACATATTTTAAAATCACAAAGTCAACAAATAATTAGTGTTAATTATAAACTTACACATAGGTAGGTACATAAACATAATTAATTTCCTCCAATATTCAATATTGTTATTTAGTTTAATAGTAGAGGTTTTATTATATTTTGTTTTGTTCCAATATTCTGGGAGACACAAAGAAAAATCAGACATCTATGGAAGAAATTAACTTACCCTTTGACAGCCCTGATCCAAGACAAGCGTACACGCAAAAGAACTTACACCAGCTGGAGTCTTCGCATCGATGTTCAATACAATGGTCAATGCATGTGGGTTCTTGAGCATCAACACTTGCAGCGGCTATAAGGCACACCACCAACAACAATGTAAAGTATTTGTTTGCCATTTTACTACTTCTGCTGTTGTTGTTGGTGGTTGTTTTTGTTATCCTCCTTTCCTGAGTTTAGCTATTGAAGATAGACGTGTATATATAGTTCTGTAAATGTTTTATGAACCACGAAAAAGGTCAAGTTCTGTTGCTACAATTTGGGGTTCTTGTTACTCACCGTATCTAAATTTAACAATAGAAATTGGAAATGAACTAATTCATCGCTTAAAAAGCTTATCTTCTTTCTCATTTTGAACTACAACGCCAATCTGCAGTGTGATTAAGCTGTAACGTGTCAAAGTGAGAATACATCTGTTTGTCAAAGAAAAATTCAAGTAGAACCTTTTGCCCTTTTAACAAACAAAGGCATGGGTTCTTATTTAAGATATATATATATATATATATATATATATATATATATATATATATATATATATATATTGTATTGACTTATTTTTCTTCGCATCTTCGCATATATATATATATATATATATATATATATATTGTATTGACTTATGTTAATAAAGAACATTTATTGCATAACTGACATAAAACTCTAAAATTATTATTATCATTATTATTATAATAATAATAATAATTAATATCATATATTTTATATTTGTAGTTTCAACATGAGTTATCTCCTACTCTTTCATGTCTCCAAATAGAATGGATAAAATCAGAGTTACTGTGAAAAGGGGAGTCTTTCATTAAGAAAATTATATTTTAGAGTTTATTTCTATTGTTTTAATGCATAAGAGAAAAATATTTTTTTATTCCTTTTGCATTTAAAGAGGGAAGCATTGATTTTTATTTTATTTTTCTTTAGTTGTGAGTTATTGTCTTATAAGGATGTGATTGTCACCCCAAAAAAATTATCTTCCTTTAAATTTTTATATAATTTATTTATAGTCTCCTCCTGAAAAAAAAATTATTGGTCCGTTTCTTCTACAAGTTCACCCTCCACCAGTGCTAATAATAATATCAAAGTCAATAATAGTGAATTTTATAGGTTAATGAATGTTTGTATCAAAAGTTTTATGGACAGATATTTCAGGCACCTAGTAAAGGATGATTCAAATAATAGTGGTGATTAAGAGATGTTTTTATTGAAAGAGAAACATGTCAATATAGAAAGGATTCCCATTTAATAGAGAAATTATTGAAATATAAGTGAGTCCGAGTACGTATTCTCCACTTATCTAGTCCTAAACTCACATAGCAAACCAAGAATTGATAAATATCATCATCACCTGAAAATAACATGTTTTAATATTTAAAAAGACTTGAAAGTTACAAATTGTCACAACATATATTTAATTATTTCATTTTCTATTTTTAAATATTATCATAATTTATCATAACATAATTTTAATATTAAATATTTTACTAATATATTATTTTTATTTTATTTTAAAATTAAAAATATAAAAAAAACAACTCGTCAAACTTACACATTTAAAAGTATCACTAGTAAACAATTTGTTATTTTCTGCCAAACTTTTTTACAAAATTATTTAAATTTGTAGGAATTTTATTCCTTGTAATTTTTATAAAAAAATTGCAAAAATATTTTAATAAATATAAGAATTTCTAGTAGTGTATAACTAAGAAAAATTACATTGAAATAATTAATTCTTCATCAATTTAATTTTTTATATTTATATAAAAGCTATAACATGATTTTTAATAATTATAATATATTGATGTTGTTGATATAATTTTTTAAGCTATAGCTTCGAGAAAGAGTTTAAGATAGTACACTGTCGTAACCAATATTTTAGTTTTTTAAAATTAAAAGAATATAAATCTAATTAACTTATTTTTTACCTTATATATATTACTATATAATTCCCAATTATGGCAAGAAATTTTATTTAATAACTTATATTCTATGAATTTTTTTTTAATTTTGATTGATTTTAGAGAAAATATTTAAGATTACAAATTATTATAGCTTGTAATTTTTAAACTTCAAAATTAAAAAAAATGTCACATCTAATTAATTTTTATTTATCAATATGTTTACTTTGTTAACATTATATATGTTACCTTAATTGTAGTGATTATATAATTTCATATATAGAATGAAATGTTTGAGTTTATAAATAATTTTTTTAGGGTCAATTAAGTTTCTCCATTACAGTTTTCTCATTTCTTTTTAACTATTTATTTTACTAGTTGAAAAGGTTAGAGTAAAAATGGCAATCTCTGACTATGATTTTATTAGTAATAGGACATTATGATATGAAACATTGACAAGGTGAGAGAATGTGTGATCTAGAAAATGATAAAATATATCCAAATTAGGGTTTTAATCCATGATCTTCAATTTCAATATGAGAGCTACTTAGCTTGTATATAAAAATATGTGTAGAAGATGTATTATACAATGTTTATATCTATTGAATCATTTTATCTTGGATATTATATTTTCCTTTTGTAAAATAGTATTGTTTTTATTTTACTGATGCAGTCGTTACTGAATAAAATAATATATCAGTAGTATTATAATTTGATCATAAAAAAATATATTTTATACTAATTTTTTTTACTAAAATAATTATATTTCTACAATCACTTTTCTGCAACACCGTTTTCCAATTTTCTCCCATCTATGTTCAGAGATTCATTTTTGTAATGTAAATTCTTATATTTTCTCGTATTCATCTTTTAAAACATTGTCAAAATTAATTTGAATGATATTCACTAAAGAATATTTAAAATAGTTATTTTAAAAAACAATTTTATAAAATAAAAAATATTTAAAATAAATAAATGTAATAAAGTATATATTATTAAAAATATAAATTATTATTTATTTAATTTATATAAGTAAGATTTTGTTGTTAGTTTTTTTTCTAAGTGAGGTTAACACCATTGCTGAATTAAATTAAAAAATTAAGGTAATCATATATATGATTCCACTTATAACTTTAATAAATAAAAAACGGAAAGAAACAAGAGAAGAAAAAAATGGATAATATATTAATGTGATGACAGTAAACAACAGAGGAAAGGAGGATAAGGACATGAATAACAATAAAAACATGAATAACAATATTGTGTCCTTGTTTATGAGAAAGCCCCGTATTAAGCCTCAGCAAGTGCATTTTGCCCATTCTGCTTCTGTTTCCTTTTGGTCCATCTCATTTCAACTTATGCTACAACCTCTGAGCCCTTAATGAAGCTCTTGCATTGTCTCTTTAACCTTCCTTGATGGTAATGGTGCTGCTGCTGGTGCTCCTTCTATAGTTATTAATTGTGTTTCTATCATCTCAGCTGCATTATATTTTAAAATCACAAAGTCAACAAATAATAAATGTTCATAATATGATAATGCCTTTTTTTCTTTAACCATTTTGCATGACAGTGAAATGTTAACCCTGAAATGAATTTATTCATATTCAATATTATTATTTAGTTTAAATAGTTGAGGCTTTATTATATTTTGTTATTCCAATATTCCAGAGAAAGACACAACAGAAAAAATCACACATCTATGGAAAGAAATTAACTTACGCTTTGATAGCCCTGCTCCTAGACAAGCGTACATACAAATGAACCTACACCAGGTGGTGTCATTGCTGCATTCATATTGAAGACAATTGTGAAGGCATTTGGATTCTTGGGCATCAACACTTGCAGCGGCTATAAGGCACACCACCAACAACAAAGCAAGGTATTTGTTTGCCATTTTACTTCTGCTGTTGTTGTTGGTGGTTTTTCTTTTCCTCCTTTCCTGAGTTTTGTTGTGGAAGATAGTCGTGTATATATAGTTCTGTGAATGGTTTATATGAACCACGAACAAAGTCAAGTTCTGTTTCTAAAATTTAGGGTTCTTGTTAGTCGTCTTATCATAAATTTAACCATACAAATCGGAAATGAATTAATTAATCATTTAAAGGCGTTTTTTTTTTCTTTTTCCACATTTTGATCTCCAACGCCAATTTGCAGTGTGATTAAGCTGTAACTTGTCAAAGTGAGAAATAGCTATGTATCAGACGTAATTTGATAAAAGAAAAAAAAAATAATAGAACATTTTGTCCCTTTTTAACAAATAATGGTAGGGGTTCTTATTTAGTATCAATGTTCTAATAAAGTTAACATTAATAATAATAATAATAATAATAATAATAATAATAATAATAAATTACCGATTGTCCTGTCCCACTTGCATTGCAGCGTTCACTTAAATATATATATATATATATATATATATATATATATATATATATATATATATATATATATATATATATATATATATATATATATGAATTTTATCCGTGATATTCATGAATATCAATGAATTGTTATTATTATATATAGGTGAATATTATTTCGCGTTCAAAGTTAATTAGATTTTTTTATTCGTCCATTGTAAAATTGGTTTATCAGCTCTCTCTTTTTTCCAGTTAATACTAGGAAGAGAATTTTAAATCAGTTAACAAATAAGGTATTTTTAAGTATACATAAGTTATAATAATATAAAAAAGAGTGATATTTAGGATTAGTATTGATATACAAAACGAAAACGAAAAATAAATCAAATAGTGTTAATTCATATTATAAATATATAAATTGATGATAAAAAAATTGGAAGTTCACATTTATTTAATATTATTTTAAGAGGTTTCTAATTGAGAATTGATAAATATAAATCTTATATTGAAAATTTGAGATTGATGTGAAATTCTTTTCGACATTTTAAATTCAATTTATAGAAGACTAAGCAGGTATGACGAGAGGCCACACAGGTTTTCAAGACTATTGTTTCCTCAAGACGGTGCTTTTCCAGAATTCAGATTGCAAGTATCTTACAATTGAAGATTTGTTAATATCCACAAACAAATCCCAACCAGAAGAAGAAAGAGTGGAGTGAACAAAAGGAGATCTATTTAATCAAGTAAAAGAATTCCAACACTTCATAAAAAAACTTCATTTTACTCCATGAGTCAAATGAAATGTGTATTAAGTAATCATCTATTTAAAAGATTAATGAAAATGAAGAATCTTATTTTCTAATACTAATAATATATGTTTATAAACTTTCACATAGACATAGCATAATTTTTTAATTTGTGTTTACAGATCAATCATTTTAATTATATTCTTTTACTTTCAGTTATTATAATGTGTTCTTATTTATCCTATTATTAATATTAAGTTATCTCTTACAATTATTATTTCAAATTTAAAATAAAAATCAAAGTTTAATTTTTAAGCAGACATCATACTTGTTAATTATATTGATTAATATAGAGATTACACAACAATATAATATAACTAAAACATAATATCAACAATATCTTAAATTCTATTGTTAATAATAAAAAAATTATTGAAAATAGTATAGTAGTTAAAATAAAAATGTAATATTAAAATATAAAAAAACTAAAAATAACGTTTAAAAAAACTATTTCAAGTAGTGTTTCATATATCCAAAAAAATCTTTAGAAAAAGTTGATGTCAATAGTATATCCTTTTCTCCCTCTTTTAAAAAGAGTGATAGAATTAAACTGAGTTTAAATAAATAATACGATGTATTAATTAATTCTAATGCATACCTTATTACAATGATTATATAATTTTATATTTTTAATTGAATAATTAGAGTTTTAGATTTTGTTATAGGTTCAATGAAGTTTCTCCTTTAGTCTTTTCCCATTTTTTTTAACTATTTGAACCAACGTTAAAAGTAAAAATGGGCATCTCTGACTGTGACGTAATTAGTAGTAGGACATTATGCTATAAATTTTTTAAGGTGAGAGAATGTGTGATATAGAAAATTATATATAATATATTCAAATTAGGGTTTCAATATAAGATCTTAAATGAGAGCTATTTTAGCTTGTATATGTGTAGAAGACGTATTATATATAATATTTATATCTATTGAATCATTTTTAACTTCATCTTGAATATATTTTTCTTTTATAGAACTTTATTGTTTTATTTTACTTTGTTGTATTATACAGTGAATAAAATATTCACTAGTGTAAAATTAGTTTTTTTCAAATTCAAAAATAATATATTAAAAAAATGTGATGATATTTTTGTAAATAAAGGTCGTAAAAGCTACTTTTTATTATGGTAGCTCTTTAATCGACGTAAAAAATAGTTTTAATGTCGGTCCTTATGAAGTCTGACATAAAAGTCATGTTTTAATTGTTCTAGGGTTTCTTTTTTCCTTTTGTACATGAGGATTTTCGAGTGATGATGGCGACAACGACAAAACAAGTTTCTTTAGGTACATTTCGACCATAGTGAGTGACGAAAACAATTATATTATGTCCCCCGTTTGTAGTGATTGATGTTTCTCTCTGATTGAATTCACGTTTTAAAGCGTTTTTCTGTATATTTGGGGTTAATGTTCTATGTATGTGTCTTTGAATCCATAATTTTTTTGGATCTTAATCACGTTATTGAAATTGAATATCTCCACTGGATTGCTATTAAAATTGAATTATTTGTGTAGTTTGTGATTATCTTTTTATGTGTTTGAATAAATTTATTGTTTATAAGCTGCATTTTTATGTTTTCATGGTTTTATGTGTGTGAATTTTACATTTTGTTGTTTATAGTTTAAATTATAATATGGTACCATGTGAAGAGAAGATAGTACAATATATAGGGTTTAGGGTTTTAAGATGATGAAAAGAAAACAAAAAAATATTCGAAAAATAATAAGTTTTGACTCCAATATCGGATTTTGACGCACAACATATGAAAACGAAGGAAAAAAAAACAAAGAAGGGGGGCAAAATATCCAAAGGGGATTTGTCCCAACAATTTTTCCAAAATATACTCTTAATCACATGTAATAGATAAAAGTTTGTACGGTTATTACTGTTAGATATTGTTTAGATATTATTTAATATTGTTAAGATATTGTTAGATATTAACCATAATATCAAACAATATCTTCTGTTTATTCTGTTACTTTCAGTTGCTCTTTTAGTTGTATCTCTCTAATATAAATAGACTACCCTATGTGTGATTTATACACAATGGAGATTAATCCCAAACTCTATTTCTTCTATATTCAACATGGTATCTAGAGCTTAAGGTTATTTTGAATTTTTTTTTTCCACCTTTGACCACTATTGAAGCCGCCACCACCGCCGTTATCGTTGTCGGTTATTTGGTAGTGTGAAAGTACATGTCTAGGAAAGTTCTGACAAGGAAAGACTTGGTATTTAAGCGTGTCCATTAGTGACCCACCTCTCTTTCCTGGGAACTTACCTGGTGTACTTGGTTCACGCCGTCGTCACTATCGCCTCCGCCCTTTATGAGTTCTTCCGCTCCTTTTAGTACTTCCGATTACGTCGATCTTGCGTCGATCCTTCCATCTACACTAACTATGTTAATGTGCACTTATCTATTGACAAGTTAACCGACCCTAATTATGCCACATGGTCATCGGACGTCGGATTATGGCTTAAGAGTCGAAGTATCTTGATCATCTTGCCCGAAAGCACCTACTCTCACTCCTGGTGAGGAAGACCGTTGGGACACCATTGATGCTCAATTATGCGTGGTTCTCAAGGGTACTCTTGATCCTTCGTTAAAACAAATTTTTCGTTCCTACGAAACATGTGCCAAAATCTGGGAACATGCCAAATTATTATACACCAATGATACTTAACGTCTCTATGATGTCTGTTCTAAATTTGTAGATGTTATTGCCTCTAAACATCAAGATTCTATGACTGATTATATGGGCAAAATTCATGCTCTTTTTCATGAGTGCAATGAGTTATTGCCTCCTTCCCCCGACCCTGCCACCGAGATAGGACAACGATCAAAGTTCTTCATGCTAGGGGCATTACACGGACTTGCTGATCAATATTCACATATTCGTGATCAGATTTTGGGTTCTCCGGTTGTCCCCACCTTGACATCGACCTGCTACACTCTTTTGTGTATACCAGCAAAACCCAACCCTGACACACCTGCTTCTGTTAATGATTCTTCTGCCTTGGTATCTCACCGTGATGATCGAACTCGCCCTCGTAAACAAGGAAAAGGGTATCCTAAGTGTGAACATTGTGGCAAGCTAGGTCACAAGATTGACCAGTGTTATGCATTACATGAGTGTGAACATTGTGGCAAACTAGGTCACAAGATTGACAAGTGTTATGCATTACATGGTCGTCCTACTCGATCTACTGCAGTTGCTCAGACTGATCTTTCCCCACCTTTATCTGCTAAGGATCCTCCTTCTTCTATTTCATCAGACACACCTGCTATGTTCAACAAATTTCTCAAATGGTATAAGGATCAACAGTCTTCTAGTTCCACCGTGTGCTGTCGCACACGCAGTACATCTTTTCTGGTCCGACCCAATCTTCTTCGGTCCTTGGGTTTTTGATTCAGGAGCCACTGATCATATTACTGGTAACAAATCTTTGTTCTCCTCTTTATCCTCTCCTGATCCTTTACCTTTTGTTACACTAGTCGATGGCTCTAGAGTATCATCTCATGGTGTTGGAACTGTTAAACTTTTCCCTTCTTTAACCATTGATAATGTTCTTTATGTCCCTGGGTCTCCTTTTAACCTGTTATCCATCAGTCGTCTAACTCGTTCTCTTGATTGTATTGTTTCTTTTACCAACAATTCTGTGTGTTTACAGGACCGGAGTTCGAAACAGGTGATTGGCACAGGATGTGAGTTCATGGTCTTTATCATCT